GGGTAAGAATACATTAGGAGCTGGAGTAGAAATAGCGAGGGAGCCTCATTGTAAGGTCCTCTTGTGGGCACTTTGACTTCTTCATCAGTGTATGTGGAGCTGCGCACTCTACTTAAAACCAGTCAATAATTTACAGAGCTTAAGACATCACCATGGAGGTCGAAGTAATAAAAAATGTAATGCAGAACTTAATTGAATGAAGCCGCATCATCTAAACCAGTGATTCCCAAAGTGGGAGCTACCGCCCCCTGGTGGGCGCTGCAGCGATCCAGGGGGGCGGTGATGGCCACAGGTGCATTTGTTTTAACTTTTTTTGTATTACCTTTCTATTCTGAGTTCAATAAATAGTTTCATAATTTCAAACTTCAATGTTTCTAATTTACACCTTTCTTTACTATATTTTACGAAAAAGGTAGAAACATTAATACATATATCTTTCTGTTTAATTGCTATTAAAATTAAAAAAAAATTAATTTTCAGGGGGCGCTGAGTAATATTTTTTCTGGAAAGGGGGCGGTAGGCCAAATAAGTTTGGGAACCACTGATCTAAACTGTGGCTAATCTTGCTATCTATTTAGCTTTTTTTAGATCCTTGTGTAATATGTATTTCTTCCCTTTGAGAATGGCCTCTCTATAGCTCATCAAAATCTTAAATATTATATTTGGGAACCTCTGACTTCTGAGGTAATTTCATCCTCAAAAGCTGGGTGTTAACGTTACACTACCATATGCCGTCACATGTGGAATGGTGATGGACCTGTGGAACTTCGGAGTTGGAAATAGTCTAGCTCCTCACTTTATAAGTTAGGGAAGTGAGACCCAGAAGGACTGATTGACTTGCCCAGAATGGCCCAGTTAGATTGTACAGAAGTGGGAGGAAAAACTAGTCTTCTCATCTCCGGTCTAATCCTCTCTCACAATACTATGTGCATTCTCCACGCAGCACTATTCCAGCTTACTACATCATATCACCCCTCATGTTCTATAATATTAGATTCTGGGAGGCTCAACCTGATCATAAATGCTACGCAGGAGACAAATAGCTTAGAGTCATTGTTTCAGGAGCCTTGGTCTGCAAATTGCTTTGATTTATAGATAATTTATTGAGTGATTATCTTATTATTAGACTAATGCTTTATTTACTTTTTTTATTGGGAAAACAGTCTTAGAAAACTAAGATATTAAAGTCTTGAAAAATGGATATGGGACATGTTCAATTACTATATTTCATAAAATTCTTAAAATGCAGAAATTTAGTGGACACATTTTGTATTGTGAATATATATTTAGCTGATGGACTATAGCAGTGCAAATAGAATCATTTACAGCTTATTGAGCAAATAAAAGCACTCCCATAAAGATTCACATGACACCTAGCTTTTATTTCAGGTAACTAATTTCTTTTTGAAAAATTGCGTAAATTTAGATTTATAGGAGAGACTACCAGAACACCTCAGCAGTTTAAAAAGTAGTTTAAGCGACAATAGACTTTACAGATTTAAAATATAAAATCAGGTGGAGAATATTAACTTTTAATGGTCTCTGATAAAAAGTTATTTAGCTTTTTTACTCTCTGTGGTATATTAAAAGTGTTATGAATTAGTTCTGGATATTATTTGTAACAAGAAAAAATAGTTCATATTTACTTGTTTTTTAACATCTCATTTTGAAATAAAAGCTTCATCAGAATTTTTGCTGGCTTGTTTTTAAGCTATTAAGGAACTTAAAAATCAGACTGGAGTATAGCAAATGACCCTAGTAACAAAAAAAAAATTTTGTTTTCATATACACAAAAGTAAATTTGTTTACTTGGTGGAGGACATACCTGTTGGGAGTGGATCTCTTTAAGGAAATATATTTTTTAGGTTACTTTTTATGTTTTGAACAGAAGGTCAGATGATAGTGTGCAAAAAGTGAGCCTCTAATTTGAAATATTAGAGGAATGCTCAACACCCCATTTCAAGGTTATGTAGTAAAAAAAAATGTTACATTAGATGAAAAGATTTCAGACAACATAGTGGAAACTAGACATTGAAAAGTTAGATGAGGAAAGACAAAAGAAGGACCCTTTGTAGAGAGCAAGAGCCATAGAATATTAAGGAGAAAGGAGAGTTAGGGCCCTTCCCTGAAGGACCTCCTTGCCAAAGTGGAATGTGGTAGGTTGATGGAGTCATGAGAACAAAAAAGGAAACCTCAAGCACAGAATATAGATATGAGTAAATTATAGATATATTTCTTTAACATTGCAAAACAGGAGTGATTGGTCAGTTTGGCACAGTTATCGTTCTCTAGTCTGAGGCATCAAGAAGAAAAACCCTGACCTTCCTTCACTGCTCTGCGCACTCCTCTCTTTTCATATATCGTTTTCTGAGACCCGTACTTGAAGTATAAAGATGTAACAACAAACTTCTGAAGCCTTGCCTGACAATATTCTTTCATCGTAATAGAGAATCCTGTTGCTGTAACTAAGTTTTATTAAGCAGAGAATCAGGCCGCACCATCGGCAGCTCTGCCAGCATCCCCTCCCGGACTCCCACCCCCCAGGTGTGACAGAATACCTTAGTAAATGCATTGTTATCTTTACAGCAGCAACATCAGGCAATAATGCGTGTTCAGACATGCAGCTAAAAAAATAAAATCAGAAAGGGTGGTTCCTGTGGCAGCATGGCAGTAAAGGCACGAAAAGGGTACCTGTCCAGCCTCTGACGTAAGGTGATGTCTCTCTCTGTTCCAGTCCTGGACTGATATGCTCAGCCCTGTGCTAATGTTGGGCAGGCGAAACCTCATCAGTGCTGCTAATGAGGGTTAACGCGATGGGGAGTTGTGTCCTTTTGTGGGGATAAGCTCACCCCTCGCCATGAAGCCATCCAAGTGGCCATTTATGGTGTTTTTTACTTCCTTTATAAAGAGAGATGGTTTCAGTCAACGGTAGGCTTGCAGTGGAGTACCAAGAAATCAAACGAACAGAGATCAAAGAAAACTGCTGAACTAGGTGTTAGATGCAGCCATTGATTTTTCTCCAGTTGTAGTTTTTTAAAAAAAAATCCACAAAAATGATAACACATACAACAGTTGAATTTCTAATACTTTCCTAAGGCCAGCCATAGCTTCCTTCTTGTTTTCACAGGTAGAAACGGTTTTGTATAACATGACATAATAAAGCAGGGCCAGAAAGAGTTCACACTATGTTGTTATCAAAGCTGTAAGGGAATCTACCAAAAGGGATGTTTCTTATTTGAAAAATTCTACAGGATAGAGTGAGTTTTTAGGCTAACCTCATCCAGGCAACATTTATTTGCTGAGAATCTGGAAAATTCTGACGCACAATTGATCACTATTTTCCCAGTATCTATAAATGTTGTAAAACAATCCTATCCACTTTACTGGTAAGACTTTGTTCAAGTTAAATATTAACTGCTGAGTACTGATGTTACTTAAGGCTTAAATGTATAGCTTCTCAAAATATTAATTCGGTTTTCAAGTACTTCATGAGTGTGTGGATTTCTTAAGTTTGATTTCCAATAGTTTCTGGATACCTGTAATGTTTTAAAATCTGAGACAAATTGTTTTCCTGTTGCAATTCCATATTTTGATACACAATTTCCAAATGCTTATACTAGAACAGTATTTATTAAAACAGGATGGTAGCATTATTATTAAAGGGAAAGGCAAAAAGTTTATCTCACTAGCATTTTGTGTGCTATTCTTTAGAAGTCACTAGGATTGACTTTTTCCCTTTGTGCTATGTCTGTCAATTACATAAGTCAGGCTGATAGATTTGAAAATGGAAATATCTATAGTTCATTTTCTAAGCAGTGCAATCTTCCATATTATATAGAGTGTATTATATGGCACAAGGAAATAAACACTATTACCATTGGTTTCTGTGAACTGCCAGTGGACGAAAGCCGGGGTAAAGGTGCCTGATTGCATTCACTCTGGGATCCAATAACTTTATAAAAGTTTTATACAGTTTTATTGTTTATGACATAGAACAAATTAAAGGCGCAGTCACAATTGGAAAATCTATAATAATAAAGGGGTAATATGCTTATTAGACTGAACATCATTTGGGATGAAGCCGGGGTCCCGGGTGCCTGCGGGTGGCCGGAGGGAAGCCCGGGTCCCGGGTGTCAGAAGGAAGCCGGTGCCGGCAGCTGGGGGAAGGAAGGCCTGATCTTGCACGAATTTCGTGCATCGGGCCTTTAGTAATTTCATATTTGTGTATTATATAGCTTTTCAACCAGTGTGCTGCAAGAATTTTTAAAACATGCAATATCTGACTAGTTAGGGACACTGACCTCTTTTCCCTTGTAGTGGTTCTCAACCTTCCTAATGCCGCGACCCTTTAATACAGTTCCTCATGTTGTGGTGACCCCCAACCATAAAATTATTTTTGTTGCTACTTCATAACTGTAATTTTGCTACTGTTATGAATCGTAAAGTAAATATCTGATATGCAGGATATAGTTTCATTGTTGGCGACCTACAGGTTGAGAACCGCTGCTAGAGTGTCAAGTAAAAAAATGACCACAGCCAACACAATAATAGCTGTCTGGTGTGAATGAATCAAGTTAAACCTGCCCAGCTGGTGTGGCTCAGTGGTTGAGCATCGATCCATGAGCCAGGAGGTCACAGTTCGATTCCTGGACAGGGCACAGGCCCGGGTTGTGGGCTAGATCCTCAGTGTGGGGCATGCAGGAGGCAGCTGATCAATGATTCTCTCTCATCATTTCTATCTTTCCCTCTCCCTTCCTCTCTGAAATTAATAAAAAATATATTTAAAGAAAAAAAAGTTATACCTATTTTTTTTGGTCAAATCGGCAAAAATATGTATTTTTTTGGTGTGCCAGAGAATTTTAGAAAATAGTTTATGTGTGCCATGAGATGAAAAAGGTTGAAAAATCTCTGGATTATATAAACGGTACTTCTTTATTGTTTTGGACTCTGTTTAAGAGTTTTTATTCTATGTTTATTACTATTATTTTTTCATATTGCAGGCAGGATCACGAGACCATTCAAATATCTCAATTCCTTCAAGAGCTGCTCTTCCTGCTGACACCATTGGTGTTGCGGAGTTTTTGCCATTGAAAGCTGAACTTGATACAACTTACACTTTCTTAAAGGAGACATTTATAAATTCTGCGCCCCTGACATCATCTCACTCCTCTCCAGTAACTACGTCTGCTAACACCAAAAGACCAGCTCAGATTGGATTATGACATTATGAAATTTTAAAAAAAATGTAGGAAGAGTTAACAGTACAATTAAAATTGTTTTGAAGGGGGATTTTCTTATCAGTTGACTTTTGTTTCAACACAAGTGACAGTGGGTTTTTAAAAATTGTGTGGTATCGTGATGTGTGCAGGTATCTGTGTCTCCCTCAATAATGAAATAACCAACTCCCCCTGCCCCCCAAGTTTTATTTATTATCACAGTTGCTCATTTTTATGTAACATATTTTTAAATGTTAAGGAATGACACATTTTGGGTAATTTCCTTCAGACTTAAAAAAATCAATAAGCCATTTTAGTCTCTATCTATCAAAGTTGTTTCATACTTGTCTATTTTAAAGCAGGACTGCAATACTTTAATAGGATTGAGAGAGCTATTTGAAATGTATGCCAATGATTCCTGTCATTTCATGGCAGCCCTGCCATGGTTCACTGAGCCCCCTCTTCTCTCTTGTCAGCTCAACTGAAGACAAGCATTTAGTTGCAAACTTTAAGCAGGTTGTGCAAAACAGAAATGATGTGACTGCTTTTCCTCCTGCACAATAATGTCACTCCTGGTCAATGTGAGAAGGTCAGGTTGCTCCTTGTAAAGCTACATGATACCACTTGCCCATTTGAACAAGTTCAGTTAACTGCTGAATCGGGTCCCTGCAGGCGCTGAAAACGCATCCTTTTATCAGGCCTGCGTCAGATAAGAAAGCGGGGCAATTGTGCTGGGAAGGTTTCTGTGGTTTGTTCAGGCACCTTTTAAGGACAGTTCCCACCGCAGAATAGCAGGTAATAGACTTAGGATACGCTGAGAAACTTCAAGGTAATGGCTGTGATGACCTTCAAAATAGACTCCCTTTCTGTTTTGTTGCTGGTAGGACCCGAGACTGACGCCCATCTTTGATGCAGACGGAATTTAAAGCAAGGCCACTGCCCTGCATTTTCTGCCTTGTAGCACATAAAAGTAAAATTGTATGTCAGGCCGAGATGTCGGGGAGCTGACAAGATGCCCCAGTGACATTTCAGCTAGAAAGAGCAAGTGTCTTGCAACCAAGTGGTCAAATATCAAATAATAGGTCAAGCAGGAAGGAGCTGAGTTCTAACCACAAAGAGGTTTCTGGTAACTTACTTGACAAGCTTTTGGGTGCTTTGTGGCTTGACAAACTGATGTTCTGTGGGGTATCGCTAGACAGACTGTTCTTTATCGCCTTCAGAAGATCAGACATTGACATTGATTAAACTCTTTAACCCTTAAAGGTTAAGTCCTAGCAGCTTGCATCATGATAAGTGAAGAACAAAAGGAGACTTGTAATATGTATCTGTTTTTGTGTTAATCATTCCACTCCCAGTGATATGCACTTCTGACGTGAACTGTAGTTTCTGACGAAGAGTTTTGATACAAAATCCATATTTTATATTATTTTTCATTATGGAGTTTGTTATTCCGGATACTTTAGAAAATAACAGTATGTATTATGAAATCTATATTGTCTTCACTTTACACTGACATTTGATTAAAATATTCCCAACTTCTGAGAATTTTTTTAATTGGCCTTGGTAAATAAAATTTGTGGACTTACTATTTATGTTGTTAGACAGATTAGCCGAGTGATGATGCCATCGGAGGTAACACAGCACTATTGTGGCACATTACTGTTTCTTATAGTGCTGAGCAGTATAATTAGCATTTCATACATCCTTAGAAAGCTGTTTATGTGGAGTAGAATTACATCTTTAACCAAATTTCTCTGAATTCTTTCCTTGGAATTCTCTTTATTACCCATTCTGGATTTTGAGTATCATAGAATACGCCCTGTGCAGTGTAACATGAATGAAATTCAACTTGCAAATTTATTGTAACACAGAAAGTGCTGTTGTTTTAATATAGATCATGGATACTTTCTGCACGTTTCAAAACACTTCTTTTCCTGCCAGTCCATACAATGATTAAGATTTGTCTATATAGAAATTGATATGCAGCTTTTAGTTCATGTAACATCATTTAGCTTTCAATTCTCACCCGATAAAGTGCTCCCCTCTATCACTTATATGCTTCTGTGTGTGCGTGCGTATGTTTGTGTTGTATCTATTTCCAATCCTACTAATTTAAGAGGAATGAGAACTTTTGTAAACTTTACCTTGGACAGACTGTGGTCTTCTTGTCTTAATTTTACAATCTGTTAATGGGATAACACCAAAAATAAATGTTTATGTCTCCTCATATGTGTGGGTATCCGATTTTCCAGGTACATTTTATGCAATAAATTCTGAACTATAAATTAAAAAATATTGTTAAACCAAAGCATGTCACATTTATAACCAACTAGATGCTAAAGGCCATAGAGACAGAAGGATGAACCTTCTGAGTGATCATTAGTATTCATCACCAAATATGTAATTTCTATACCATATGCCCCCCCCCTCCCCAGAAGTCAGACCAGCAAGAGAAGATTTAATAACATCCTATGGAGATCTGAAGGATAGACTGCCCCTGATTACGTGTTTGAGATCCATGTTGTGTTCGCCAGGACAGTTGCTCTATCAGCTTCTTTGCCTCCTTAAGAATGATGTAAAAATATAAAAACTAGACATTTCCGAGGAGAATGACTTCAAATACTTTTGTAGGGGAAGAAAAGTTTTACTTTACACCTTAGTATGTGGATTTTCCCACTAACCTTCTGTGATCTAGAAAAATACCTATATCATTCATCACCATCAAAGGGATTCTTAAAGTTACTATTGTGATACCTAAGTCACACTTAGTGAATGAGGCGTTGCCAGTGTTTTTAATATAAACATTTTGCAATGACATAATAAATATAAAGAGGAGTAGGAAATTGCAAGAATTGCCAATTTGGTAATTTATTGACATAGACAAATAACTTTTTAAATAGTAGAAGAATGATAACTTTAATCTACCAAATGTCTGACTTTTTTCAACTTAGCAACAGTATTTTTTACATTTATAATATATGCTGTTATTGAGTGCTTAAAGAGATCATTACTATTTTCCCATTACTATATTTACCAGTTATATCTGAATTCATCCTATACACCATATGAACAATGGTAAATTAATCCTGTTTTATTTTGTACTTTTTAAAAAAGTATATTTTATTGATTTTTTTATAGAGAGGAAGGGAGAGAAATAGTTAGAAACATCGATGAGAGAGAAACATCGATCAGTTGCCTCCTGCACACCTCCTATTGGCAGTGTGCCCACAACCAAGGTATATGCCCTTGACCTGAATTGAACCTGGGTCCCTTCAGTCTGCAGGCCAGTGCTCTATCCACCAAGCCAACCCGGTTAGGGCTACTTTGTACTTTTATAGACAAGTTTTCTAATACAAAAGGTGGAAAGTAAATAATATTTATTGAGCAACTATTCTATGCCAGCCATTATAACAAAACTTTAATGTTCTCAAAATAAACCTCTGGAGTAGGTATCTGCATCACCATTTTATAGATAAGCTAGTGACCCAGCATGTGAAATCATGCGAGACCCAGACCCACGGGAGATTGCGTGAGACCTGGGACCCACAGTCAAGTCTCTGCCCACCCACATGCGCCTTGCCGTGCACGCAGCCTCCTGGTGACCGGTCTTTGGCCGTTACAGCATTACAACCACTGGGGTTTTATTATATAGATAACTGAGCATCTAAAATGTTAAGCAATTGGCTATGTAAGATCACACAGAATCTAGTAATTAGCAAGCCTAGAGCTGTAACTCCAAAGCCCACACAATTTCCAGTTTGCCAGGCCTGTTTTCCAGTAATAAGTAGCACATTTTAAAGAGGAGAAAAACTTTCAAAATTGTCCTGATCAGCTAGGAATTATTTTGAGAAGTATATTTTGGTTTGAAATTTAGATCACTTACTCCATTAATTAGACAAATAAAACACATTCACTCATCCATATAACCAGTAATGAGAAGAATAGTTAAGTTTGTACCTATCTTTCAAAGGAATGAACACCCTTCATTATGTTGCCCAGGTTCTCTAGCCTGGGCTGAGGGACTATGTACTCTCTCAGAGACAGACCCTCTGTTGAAAGATCCATTGATGGTAAGCCAGCCTGAACAAGCTATACCTTTCCAGTGGGAAATAATGGCTTATGCTGAGTAAAGCTGATCAAGAAAACATTAACTTGTATAACTCTTAGGATGGAGCTGGGGATTTTAAAGTAAAATATATTTTTTGGATTAGTGTGATAGACTGAGTAATGAGCCCAAAGATTTCTACACCCTAATCCCTGGAACCTGTGAGTGTTACCTTACACGGCAACAGGGACTCTACAGATGTGATTAAGTGAAGGATCTTGAGATGAGGAGATTAAACATCTGGGTGGACCCCAAATGCAATCGCAAGTGTCCTAAGAAGGGAGGCAGAGGGTGATTTGACTACAGAGCAGAGGCGATGTGATGGCAGCACAGATGGAGCCATGGGCTTTGCAGATGGAGCTGGGCCCCGAGCTGAGGAATGCAGGCGCAGCTGGACGCCAAAGGCCAGCAGTCTCCCTGGGAGCTCCACAACGGTAAGAGGATACATTTGTTTTCAGCCACAAGACCGAGGTAATTTGTTACAGCAGCCATAGGAAACTAATACCACCAGTAAACTTTCAGTGTTCTTTTTAAGGATTAATACATTTGTCTTTCAATATTTTCAAACAGAAGAATCATTCTTTCTTTTAAATTATCCTAATCAGTGGTCTTCATCACTTGAATTTCCAAATAATTTGTAGGTTTTCATTTTATACTAGAGGCCCAATGCACGAATATTCGTGCAAGAGTAGGCCTTCCTTCCCCCGGCTGCTGGCACCGGCTTCCCTCTGGCACCTGGGACTGGGGCTTCTCTCGCAGCCCAGGCTTCGCCCGGAAGGACGTCTGGTCTAATTAGCATATTACACTTTTATTATAGATTCCTGGCTTCTGAATATAAAAAACTGTGATTGTCTATATTGGGACATTTCATCACCCTCTAATGCCATCATTCCTGATAATTTTACAAATTAACCTGAGTTTCAATAAGTACAGGAAATGTATGCACAGTTTAACAGCTGATAGCTCAATTGATGTTTCTTTTCAGATTTAACTCATTGTAATTAAGAATGTATAATAATTGGGTATACATTTTTGGGGGACAACCTATGAATTTCTATAATTTTTAAAAGGTGTTATGTTTCAAATGTACTAAATTTGTGTTTAAGGTTGACTTTAAATGATTGTTTCTATTTGATTCCACTTTTGTAGGCATAGTTTTATAGCTTTCTTTACAAAATAAATTTACTCTTAAAAGAATTTATATTAATCATAGCTTAAAATAATGATTTGGGATTTATAAATCTTATCTTAAATGTACCAGAGCATTTTCCTTAACTATTTACCCATGGGTTCAGTATATGTCCCTGGTCATTTATCCATGCCTTTTATTACAATTGAAGTGAAAGAATTTTAATAATTTTCCAAACAATAAAATCTTTGAAAATTTTTATTGTATAACATTTGAATCTATTTTACCTTTCCTTCAGTGAAAGCGTGTTTTTTTTCCCTTCTAATGGCTTAGTTCAAAGAGAAAAAGGTTAACTGAACTGATTGTGTTCAATATAATGAAACCTAAAATATTGATGATTTAAACCTACAGTGTTAAATATTTCAAGTACAGCAAAAACAAAACAAAACAAAACAAATGCCTCTTGTTCCGTAAGGAAAATATCCAGTCCTCGTGGTGGAGGCATAGATGTGTGCATTTG